ATCAATTCTGAAGATTTGAAGACAAAATATATAATACATATTGATATATCCTTATTTCAGTGAAGGAGGTACAGGTACCCCGGGACCGACATTTAACTCACATATTCAGTTTTTAGCCAGTTTGGCAAATTTCAGTTGGATTTGAACTTTTTTATGTTTGAAATATTTTGCTGACTGGTAACACATAAACAGTAAGTATTATGATGTCGTGTAACAGTAAGTAGTGTGAGTGTTGTATGGTTGTGGTTTGCAGGTCAATTTGGGAAAGCATTGTGGAAGAAGGGGTTGGTGAGAGAAGGGAAAACCCTTCTCCACATGGACAATGCACCTGCCAACAGATCTCAAAATGTTCAGAAAACAATATCCCCCGACCACAAAATTGAGCCCTTGGCCAATGCACCATATTGTCCAGATCTGCCCAAATGTGACTTATTTATTTCTTTACTACTAATATTTCTATATATATAGAGATCGAAAGGACGCAGGTTTATTGACATTGATGAAATAAAACAACCCGTGCAACTGCATCTTGCTACCATGTCAGAGAATGAATTCAGCCTTGTCTCGCAATCTTTAGTTAAGAGGATGAGGAAGTGTGTACATGTAGCACTTGATGGAACATATGTAGAGGGCCCTGTATACTGAATGTGACATGAATACCACACAGTGATGATAAAATATTCAAAATCAACCATGTCATAACAAAATGGTGTAATTCATGACCATCATGGTTAGTTTTGTTCAGCCTGCATTCAACTGCATTGCATGTTAAACAAGCTAAAATAGCTTCAGAATGTGTGACGTGATGTCGGTCCCGGGGTACCTCCTCCACGGGGTACCTCCTCCACGGAAATAAAGATATATCAAAATATATTACATGCTTTGTTTTCAAATCTTCAGAGTTGATAGATAATTGAATAGTGTATCACTTTACTATCTCTAAATTCATGCATACCTATTATCTACTACCTCAGGTAAAAGTAAAGCTTTCAAATCGTTAGAGTTGATAGATTATTGAATGATGTATCACTGGTTAGAAAATCAAATGGATTGGTCCATAAAATACATCTTTGTAAAAGCGCCCATTACTAAAGCTAAGTTCACACCAAAGGCGCTTACAAAGTAACCGTAACAAAGCTCAGCAAAGCTTGACCCAAAACGTAGGAAAGCTTAACAGAGCTTGGTTCAAAGCGGGACTTCAATCTCTTCACGGTCTGTTACCACTTGACACGCTTCGTTAAGACGTCTCAAGATTTGCTACAAATGGCATGAAGATCTGACTCGTGGTCAGACGCTTCCATCAATATCTGACACTCTTTATAACGCATTCACGAAGGACTCTCACGCTTTCCAACGAATTTAGACGCTTTAATCAAGGATTGAAACGCTTTGTTAGGCTTTGTTATGGTGGGCAAGCTTCCTCACGCTCTCTCACGTTCTTTCACATCGTGTAACAAACGTCATGTCTTCTTCAGATAGGTCATGCTCTCGTCCATCTGGAATTCTTGGTTCTTCCGCCATCGTGTACTCGAGTCAAAGATGCAATGGTTTTATGGATCTACTGCATCTTTATATAGGCTAAGTTACACTTACGGCGCTTTGATTGCCCTTTAATGCGGTGTGCAAAGCGGCTTTGCACGTCGCATGAAGGCGGCATTAAAGCGCCGTTGGTGCTAACTTAGCTATAGTCATTGGATCAAAAGCGGCATTAAATCGGCGATCTCGACATTTTCCAATGCGTGACAGAGCTACAGAGCGTAACAATGCACAACAGAGCTTGGCAATCGTATCAGAGCCTGATTTAAAGCGTCATAATCGCATCAAAGTGTAATAATGCTTATCAAAGCTTATCAAAGCGTGATTTCAAGCGTAACAAAGCCTGGTCGAAGCGGGATCAAACCGTGGGGAACCGTAACAATTCGGGAAATCAGAGCGTATCAGAGCTGATCAGAGCGTAACATTACTTAGGAGATCGTGATATTTTTGGAAAAGTAAACAAAAATGACGGCGCTTTGCTCGCCGATTTAAAGCGTGGCATTCGCCGTTGGTGTGAACTTAGCTTTTTTGATCACCCCTCGTATATTGACTTTAGGTGAAAACAGGTCAAAATACAACCTGTAACCAATCTAATTACTAAGATGCCGCATGCATGCCCTTACGTATATTCCAAGGATGATCTCGTTTCTCTATAAAATATAATTGATAAAGCCCCATGCTATTTTATGGAAGGGGGCCTATTTAAAGATGCAGCAATTTGTAAGAACTAATGGTTAATAGTTATATCCCCTACATTCAGCCGTCTATATAGTTTTTTGATATCTAAAAACAACAAACTACAATTAATCCTTATTACTACATGTATATTACATTATTTTCAATTGATAACATGCTTACATAGTTAATGTTTTATGAAGCTACCATGCATAACATCCATTAGCTATTCTTTCAAACATAATCTTCCTTTAACACATCTTTTTATTAACTACTTTTATAATTATATATTCTAATTCTAAGAATATTTCATTTATAACACACCATACATAAAAAAGGTATTAACATGACGAAACGTCACCACCTCGTTGCAAAAAATATTGTGAATTCAGTTTTAAGTCAGCTTTGGATTTCTGAGATATTGTAGATGATTTTGAAAAATGGTCAATTTGAAGCAAGTGGAAGAAATACCTTGTTCGTCCCTGAGAAGGATATTGAATGTGAAATCATAAATATAAACTTGTATTTGAAATTCTGAGGACTTGTAGATGATTTTGAAAAAAGAAGGTCATTCAAGATCAAATCTTTTTTTACCTTAAAAGGTCATTGAAGATCAAATCTTAAACCTAAAGTCAGATTGCTGTAGATGATTTGAAAAAATGGTAAATTTGACGCAGGTTGAAAAATTACTTTTGACCTTTTTTCATTGAGGTCATTGAATGTCAAATCTTAAATCTAAATGAATAAACGCACGGAGCATACCGCGTCTCTGTAGAGAAAAAAGTGCAATGTATTTTACCAATCATATATTTTTTATTTTTTGTTATTATCAGACCAACCATTTGAGGTAAAAATTCTAAAAATTTCGTAAATATGGTAAAAAATTAGAAAAAATGATAGATCGACTCCCATAATTGTGAGTTTGACTTTTTACCATAAATTGAAGTAATCAATTTGAGAAATCCTATACCCATCTATATGCTCAAGAAGGGGATCTTCTAAGATATGAAGTTAAAAAGTTGACGTTTAGAAGAATACAATATTGAAAAAAATGTTCAATCCAATAAAACTTTGTGGAAAATATCAATTATATAATGAACGTCCGATTAATTACAACCATTTTGCAATAGGATCTGAGGTTACCTTCAGATTCAGAGGTTTCTTCTCAGTTCAAAATTATTATTCAAAACATATATTACAAGAAACTGGAAATAGTAAGTATAACCCTAATCATTCTCAATGACCCATAAATATGTTAAACATCCTAAACTTAGCTTATGTATACCAAAATTCATGTCAGATGTGATATATGAATGTGTTTATTGAGCAAAATGGTTACGTCCTATCCCTTATTTCGCTGTTATTTAAGGCGTAGAATTGTCTAAAAATCATGTTTGGCACTTCCATAATTTTGTGTCTTTGTGTCATTGTTTATCTTAAACATGTCAGTTTGGAACAGGCTTTACAATAGTATGACGAATATATAAGGGTTATGTACTGGGAGGTTTTGGATATGGGGTTTATCCAGAGGGGGACCGAAGGTAGATGTGCATATCTCACAAAGTATGAACCCAATATCCAAACCGACCGTACATAACTGCTTTATCCTATACCAAGTAGAGTTTTCTAATTTTGTTTCAATTTTGTTTCGATTCTTTATTCTTTAATTTTTTTTCACGTTTTTCTCGATTTTTTTTGATTTTTTTTTATTTTTTTTATTTTTTCAATTTTTTATTTTTTCACATTTTTTATTTTTTTCAATTTTTTTTTCGAAGCGGGAAGATATGCCCTGGAGCGGGAGTTATGGCGGGAGATATGGAGGTTCAGGATATGGAAACCTCAAAATCAGGATACGGGATATATCTTACCAACTTATCTCCCTAAAACTCTACTTGCCATAGGATAAAACATATTATATAAAATTATATACTAGGCTAAGAGGAAAATGTAAATAGCAAATTGTAATTTATTACGTAATTTGATGGAAAAACTCACAGTGGAGAGCTTGTGAGACAATGTACTTAACCATTGCTAACTTTTTTAAATGTTCATCTAATGTTTTCAAATTTCTACTAGTTATTCATAACAGTTACGCCATGTGCTTCGAAGAGTTTAGTAATATCATACACAATTTATAAAATCTTATGGCTGATAAAGAACAATGCACCTTTTTCTTTACAGATGGTAAATTATTTTAAAAACATTGAAGTCGGTTAAAAGTATTTGTAAAGTTATTAGAATTTGTAAGAAGTTGTTACATATGTAAACCACCAACTGCCACCCGCCAACAGCAGTCACAAAAATGGGGACCATAAAAATATGTCACCACCTTTTGGTGGTGACATAATTGTATACTACTAATGACCATTACAATATAATACATTGACTATAGTGGCTTAAATACCAAGACAAAATCAAGTACAATGCTATTAAACACTTGTCCTTCTACATTTGATGATAATTCTAGTTTAAAATATACAAATATAAATTTATATTTGTAAACTGACAGTATGTTCAGTACTTACTAACATTGTTTCAAACCGTTTCTAACGTTAGGTGAATCGCACTATTGCATTATATACCACCTTATGTTTTTAAAAGCGAAGACAAATTGAGATTCATTTCTGTATTGTGGATGTGAGATCACACATTTTTGCCAGACTGCAGAGTCACAATATTTTGGAATAGCTACCCATCCAAAACAATTTCGGCAACAGACATTGATATTTGTTGCAATTATCAATTCAAAGTTTGAAACATTGAGCTTTGCACATCACCTCAATTCTTACCAAAGCAATATTTCCCATTTCCATTGAATCCATCCAAGCAATTGCAGTCAAATGAACCCGCTGTATTGATACATTCTGCATACACGTGACAATCGTGTGTTCTTTCACTACACTCCTCTATATCTTGAATGTTGAGTTGAAACAATACATAGCACCAACCACAAGAAACAAACGAGGAAATCAAAATCAATTGAGATCATTATCAGTTCAATTGATAGTATGCGATAATGTATAATGTTCTCAAATCAATCATGTCCACTCAGATTTCACTAGCGTATCCAGAGTGTAACAAGTGAGGGGGGATTTTTAATCAGAAAATATTTTCCGCGCTTGCAAGCAAAAATTTGGCCCAAATTTTGGACGGAGAGTTGTTTGTCGAATTAATTGGGGGACTTTAAAAACTTGACTGTAAAATTGCACCATATAATCCCAAAAATATTTGTCATTTTCAGGGATCATCTATGGATTGATACCCAGGTATTATAATCTTTCAAACTTCAGAATTATACTTCTCGGAATTATTGATAATCAATGCTTTTGAATGATACAAATGCTGTTTTAAATAGGCTTTATGTATGTCAATAATTTCTCAAATGGTTTAAACTGCAATATAAACCAAAACAACCCAATACGGTGGGCATTAAAGATTTATTTTCCTGTTATCTCAAAGTCTGCTTAGCAATGTACCATTGGATTTCTATCGTAAATTCCTGAAAGAGAAAAATTCTAGGGATTAAGAAATGAGTACAGTTTACACAATTCGAGAAATTATTGGCATACATTAAACCTATTTAAAACAATATTTATATTATTCAAAGCTTTGATTATATATGGTTTCCAGCCATCTGAAGTTTTAAAAATTAAAATACCTTGGTGTTAATCCATTAATATACATTGAAAATGAGAAATATTCTGGGGATTGTATTGATGTTTGCTGGATGACAAACATTAATGAAATGCATGGACCCCAGCCGCAATTAATTTGTCAAACAACTGCCCCTCATTCAAGGCCCAATGTTTGATAATTTGGCAAAAAGGGCCTTACAAGGCCAATTTATGTCTAAATGACACATTTTTGAGGCCCTACAAAATTTTCGGGTCCGTTCGGGCCCTAATATTTGCTGGTCTGACAAGGGGTTGGGGACATGTTCACCCCTGGATTCGCCAGTGGGTTTGGTCAATTCAGACATCATGTATGATGCAATAAATCTTTTTAAGGCTAGTCAAATTTAATTCAATGTATTTGCATGCGCCCGGCCAAATGAGAATTGTGTTCAAAATTGTATTAACAATTTTGAACAAAATACACAATTACCCAGGCGCCTACCAATGAATCAGAGGAAGTGTGACCAAGCATCAATTGGCATAGCCATGCATGACTCAAGCATCAATTGTCATAGTCATGCATGACTCAAGCATCAATTGACATAGCCATGCATGACTCGAGCATCAATTGGCATAGCCATGTATGACTCAAGCATCAATTGACATAGCCATGGATGACTCAAGCATCAATTGGCATAGCCATACATGACTCAGGCGAGGCAGTTTCCTCACAATTTTATAGATATATACCTCGTAAGATATTTTCCAAAAATAAAATGTGAGAATGCAATCTAATGAAGTATTAGATTTCATTTAGCCTCACATTATTCGCCACGCCTCTGATATTGATTAAACTCATTAACTGTATATTACAAATCACATATAAAAGCATAAAATAATTAATGGTTTTGTCGAGTCAATCAAAATATGATTTTGTCCACTGTTTTTCAAGAATGATATATATTATCAAGTTACTCATGAGTCAAATTTTTCTTTATATTCAAATTGTTGATTAACTGCTATAAAAATAGTGACACAGTGTTTTAATTAAGCCATGACAACATTAAACTGTTTTAAAACCCAAATGACATAGTCCATTGTGCTATATTAGGTAGCATCAACATTGAGAGCTTCCATTCACCAATCTTATTACGAACCTCTACAGTAATAACCAGTCCCTCTGTAGCCAGATTTGCAACTGCATTTATAGGAACCTATGGAATTTGTACAGTCTGCATACTTATGGCATCTTGTCTTGCCCAATGTACATTCGTTAATATCTACAAAATAATTGAGGCTTGTTTATACATTTAAATAAAATCGGTCTCTGCATAGTAAGGACGTCTATGTGTACATTTGATAATAAAGATAAAGAAATGGGCACATTTATTGCAACTGTTTCATTTGACAAATCAATTAATAAGTTTTGTGCATGGTAGACGTAAAGCAAACTTACAAAAATACATTTTGACATGCCAGAGCAATATACAAAACTATAGTCCCTAATTATTCAATTCTCGCGAATGAGTTAAGTTCTCACTGATATTAATCTTTTTTTTATAGTTTAATGGATTAATTTCTACAGCCGGTGGTTCTAATTTCCGCATAAACATTATTCTGGGTTAGGGTTAGGGTTAAGTTAAGTTTACATGTATGTAATGATTGTATAAAGTCTCCGTGCTACAACGTATAATTAATTTATGTTAAATTCAGGAATTAACCGATTATTTCTGAAGGAATAAAAAGGTAGTTCAACATTATAAGGACCTACCCAGGGGGGGGGGCATGGATGTTTGGATTGTTCACTTCTAAGGATGTTATTTTAGTAAGTAATGCAATCAGACGGCATCTGCACAATGATGTTACTTATAATTAGTTCTGGGATGATTTTTAAATCAATGGGAAAGCAATATCTGAGTCATTTGTTGAAATAAATATTGAGATTTTTAATACCAATTACTCTTTCAACAATTTCATTTAGCTTTTTTGATGTGCGTTTTATCTACTGCTTCTTCTAGCATCTGAGTTTCTCGTAAATTATGATGTAAAGTAAAAACGTTTTTGACTTGTAATAGTAAATGTACGTGTGCTTTGTCAAAATATTTATCCCCGATTAAAGCTTTAATGATCGCAAAATAATACAGAAATGTATGCTTTTATAATGCTTTGCTTAAATCATGTTGAATGGCTTTCGAAACATTAGATTGAAACACACATTCGATTTGGAAGAAAATACTCAATCGGCGGCCGATGAATCGCAGCAAATGTGACCCATGCATTAGCGAGAAAAATACATTTGATCCAATAATCCCTTGCTAAATCCATATATAGATAAGATATATCAAGACCTACACAAATATTAAAATGAAGGTTCCAACAAATAATTTATCAGTAATCTTAACAACTAGATAAGCCATTTATCTGATTAAATCATGTCTATAGATTTCCTCAGGAAGAAGATCAAGATAAAGTGCACTCATATCAGATTCATTAGTCTTTTTCAATTTAAGCTCAGTAGGGTATATCTCACCTACAAAGTCTTTCAATTTTGGGTTGTCTAAACTTAACAAGTAATCAATAAATCGATGTCTTATTAAATAGCTTTGCAATATGAAGTATACTTTTATCTTTCATAATTCTTTGTAAAAATCTATACTCATACGAGAATAGAGAAAGGTCTCCTAAACGAGGAGCACAATCTGTACCCATTGGTATACCTACATTCTGACGTCAGACAAATATATTATCAATAACAAAGCCTAACACCTCGCAGAATTGTACTGCAGTGAAAGAAATATATTTATCATATTGTTCACTAGAAAAGAAACCCCTTTTTGAATTACAGTTAACATATTTAAATTTACTACCCGCCATTGTCTTTTTAATGATTCCAAATATTTCATATTTTAACTTGTCATGAGAAATTGATGTGTAAAGTGTAGAAAAATCCCACGTTGAAATACATTTAACTTTTGAATAAATTTGGATTAAAAGTATTAGATAAGAAGTATAAAACAGATTGTACAATCCAGATTGCAGATTGCAAACATTGCAACAATCTGCACATTGCAACATTGCTAACATTGTTAAGATTGTTGGCCATTCTGAGAGAAGTATAAAACAGATTGTACAATCCAGATTGCAGATTGCACACATTGCAACAATCTGAAAATTGCAACATTGCTAAGAATGTTGTCAACTCTGAGAGTAGAAATATAAAACAGATTGTACAATCCAGATTGCAGATTGCAAACATTGCATCAATCTGCACATTGCAAAATTGCTAACATTGTTAAGATTGTTTGTCATTCTGAGGGAAGTATAAAACAGATTGCACAGTCCAGATTGCAGATTGCACACATTGCAACAATATGCACATTGCAACATTGCTAAGATTGTTGGCCACTCTGAGAGAAGTATAAAACAGATTGCAGATTGCACACATTGTAACAATCTGCACATTGCAACATTGCTAAGATTGTTGAGATTGTTGGCCACTCTGAGAGGAGAAGAATAAAACAGATTGTACAATCCAGATTGCAGAGTGCACACATTGCAACAATCTGCACATTGCAACATTATTAAGATTGTTGGCCACTCTGAGAGGAGAAGAATAAAACAGATTGTACAATTCAGATTGCAGATTGCACACATTGCAACAATCTGCACATTGCAACATTGCTAAGATTGTTGTGATTTGTTGGCCACTCTGAGAGGAGAAAAATAAAACAGATTGTACAATCCAGATTGCAGATTGCACACATTGCAACAATATGCACATTGTAACATTGAGAGAGAAGTATAACAGATTGCAATTCAGATTGCAGATTGTGAACAATCTTACAGAAAAAATTCAATGTGTAAGTGATTTAACATAGGAGTCAATGGAGAAGCAGATTGTTTTCAGTTTGCTAGAGGTACCCTATTGGCCATAGCTAGACATTGGGACTTGGTTTGCCCCTGTGATCTATTTCTTTACCAAATTCGAACCGTTTCGGTAACCAGCGTAATCGAGTGGATCACCAGTGCAAGTGGCATTTCATGTTTATTATTATCATCGCAGTGAAAGTTGAAGGAGTTGATAGTCAATTCTCATAAAAAGTAGTTGAAGATACCAGTACTTATAAAATATAAAGCATTAAGTCTCAAATGACGTGAGCTGACAACATCTGGAAGTTCATGGACAATCCAAAGGTTCCATATCCACTTGCAAGCCGCCGCTGCAATCCATAAACACTATCATTCACAAAACTTACCAACGCATTTGTCCCCACTCTTTTTGAACCCAGATCTGCAAGTACAGACAAAGCTCCCAGCTGTGTTTCTACAGTATGAATTTGAGCCACATTTACTTGGTGGTCTGCATTCGTTAATGTCTGGAAAGCAAAAATAACACATTTATGGGTTCTAATAAATATACGTATGTAGAATAAAAGTACTTTGGAACAAATATTGTATAAAAAATTCATAGAACGAAGCGTGAAACCTTCCGAATAGCATCATAATACCATTTCCTTTGATTTAGGGCGAGAGCCATTTTGTGGTCCATTAAAATGATCAAAAATAGTATGTACCCATCCCCCCAGTCCTGTGGGGGTAGGGCGATATAGGAATATTTTTAAATAAAAATAATCTTTGAATATGGTCATACTGCAGTTTAAGTGTGCAATTTTCATGCTAAAGAAATTTTGCAACATAACAAGATGATTTATTATCAATCGAGTGCCTAAACAGTTTGGTGAATGGTGTGCCGACCAACAGAATGCGCATGCGCAAAGCTCATTTGAGATCGTGGCGTTTATTTCAGTTTAACATCAGTTCAACATCATCATATCAAACGACGGTAATACTATTTAAAATACTCGATCCAAACGTGTAGAGAATAACCATAAAACAACAATGAATACCACAGGTCATCTTTCGGAAATCTCTCCTCTGATATCAGTCTATGAAATGGAGCAAAGTGGCCAGGATCAGTACAGATTGTACACTAAAGACGGATCTAAGCAAATAACAGACACTATCTATATAAAAAGAAACAATTTTCTAATATTCAACAAACTGAAACAAAGGTGATTGTTGCCAAGGCAACATCACTGAAAAATGATTGTGCTCTCTTCAAAACTGTTCATTGATGTCAGAATAGAAACACTCATCTAAGGAGTTCTTCAAACATGAAAACCAATCCTTCTCATCCTCTTTATCTCAAAGTGGAACAATTAAAATAACTCATTCAATGCCCAAAGGTAGATGCAATATTATCATCAACTTTGAAATCATTAGAGATGATGTAAGCAATGTATGGTAAGATGTAAGATTCAAGACATTTCCCCATCAACAAATGAATAAGCACACCCACCACGCAGTAAAGTCTGGTTACAACACATTGACGATTAGAACAGTAGACTGATATTATCTGTTTGGCATTTAGTATATCATCAGAACTCAAAGTTAAAAAATGGATAGCTTTGTGTTTGCTTTGCGGGCTATGTGTCTCCCCTTATTTCATGCCCAAAATGGTGCAGAGCACTAAATCTGGATTACATGATAATATTAAAACAACAGCATAGAAACATTGGATTACTTATCCGAGTTGACAAATACACTTAAACTTTGGCTGAAGATACAAATAATTTGCCAAAGTTATGCCAATCATTAAACGTTTTGTTGTGATTTTATACAATAGAGACAACAATGAAACAACTGTGAATGCTGCAAGACAAGAAATGTTCACAAAGAAAACAACTCAAATTGAGAACATCCCAACCGCATAAGTTGCATGTTTTACAGCAGCATATCAAATATGTTCTATTCCGGACATTTATACCTATGTCAGTCATCCCCTCATCATCACAATTGGATTGGGAATCCATTACCACAAAGGCTGGGAAAATGATTTGGGTGCTAGTGTGGAAAGCATTGCCCCAAGCTTCAGATGCATGCCAAATGGTGATAAAATGCAGGTGAAAATAGCAATACTCAACAAAAAGATACAAGTGCTTTAAGGCCAAACTTGTTAGTGTGATTGGGATTGTAATGGACATTACACTTAACTCAGTGATAATGATAATATAGTGTTGAATGCTTAAATGCACCAAATAGGATATGTGAAGTGCAGTTAAGATACTTAATAAGGTAGCCTGTATCAATTAGTCAAAGTGCTCTCACTAAAAGCCAAAATAGCGTGTCATTAGTTGTGAATTATATGTTATTATATCTTCATATCTAAAAGGGGACGTGGTCTTTCAGAAGCCGTTAACAGTGAAATTAACTCACTTACAGCATCTATAATCTTAACGTTAATAACTGACTTATTTTTATCAATTTTAATTAGCCTTATTAGGTAATTATTGTATGCATAATAGAAGATTCATTAACATGTATATTTAACATGTTGATAAAGTGGGCGTCGCCCTTGGTCAGGCTGTAACAATGAATGGACATGAGAAAAACTGATGCAATCTTGAAATTTGTTTTTAAACACTGAAAATAACATACTAAAAATGAAGTTAGATCATATTCAAAAAAATATTCTTCCCTCCCCTCCCCAGGATTTGATGGGAGGGGATATTTGCAATTTCGGTCATTCTAGCGAATCACAAAACGGCTCTGGCAAAGGGAATAGTGTCCTGATGATATCTTGAGTTTCACACGTTGTTCTATGAAAGAACTATGTTTGCACTATTGATCTCGCTATAAAAGAAAATACGATTTAAAACAAATACTCATAAGATATGTCGTGCCATACTTAACACATACGAATACTTGAGTCATTACCATATTCGAAAACCACAAGATATCTTGTTTACCTAAACATAATTTTCCATTCCCAGAAAATCCAGGCTTACATTCACACTTATGCCCATCAGGTGTATCTAGGCAGTTGGCTCTCACGTGACAGGACTTCTTATGTGTGCTGCATTTTGTAACAACTTTTGAAGTTTTGCTTCCTGATTCTGCAACTTCATTCACCGAAGATATTGCTGAAAGCATAACACTAGAATAGGAACATTACAATTTACATTTTCATGTATTCTATTTCATTTAATAGTCTAATCAACCAGTTGACATAATTGTGATGTCTAACATTTAATGGAGCTGAGTTATATATTTTATTAGTTGTTCAGCCAAATGTGCAGTGGGTACCTGGCGAATATCCATATTTAGGAATCTTTAAGTCCTTAAGTTTTGTCTGTATTTCTGTCTAAAATTCAACATAAACATAACAAATAAATGTATGTTGAATTGGTTCGAATTTTTAACATATTTTGTGGAAGCATCATTTCGAGTAGATATCCTTTTCAGTACAACAGTAATCTCAACGAATATATAAGCGCAAATGCCAAAGGGAAGAGTGACTAAAAACTTTAAAGAAACCCAACAAGAAAAACAAACTGTAAGTGAAAATCTGTCATAAGAAAGGTAGACCCTATATATACCAAAACCATGATCTAACGTGAAAAGAAACAATGTCTAACACCCCCTCACCCCTTCAATCGAGAACCAATATCACAATCCAGGACCAGAACACCAAGGGACATTTCATTTATACTGAAGTCATTACAATACATGTTGAAGAAAAATTGAGAAAATTGATAGCCAATACTCATAACATCAAAAATAATTGTAGATACTAGTACTCATAAAATAGTATTCAGTCTCAAATGATGTGGGATAGATAAAATCCAGCCTCGAAGTCTATAGGCAATGCAAATGGTCAACATCCATTCGCGAGGCCGTCATCATAATCCATAAAACACAACACAATTTCTCAACCATTAATGCCATAGCCGGGATCCACCTCAAAAGGTGCCAAGGGAAAACAATTTGAGTTCATTGCTAATTTATTATATCATTCCTACATCCTTCAGTATCTCAAGTGGTAAAACCTGAAATTTCGAAATTAATGACTTGTACTTTTCAGCACAGCGCAGAAAGGATTTTTTACGTTTTTTACAAGTATTACCTTGACCTAACAGCTTGATCACTAAAATATGGTGTCTTGATTTGAAATCTAGATATTTTGAACACGCCCTGCTATATCGAATAAGCTGGGATATATGAACCCCATGATATGCTGGGTTAAGTGGAATATTGCTATCCAAATGTGGAAAATTAACAATGTCAAAATTAAAGTCATCCCTTTTGTCATATGATTTACAATATATACTTTTTTCTCGTTCAATGTTAATAGAGATTTTACATTTTGGCATGCCAACCTAAGGTCCTTACCATGGCATGGGTGCACTAAGGTCCTATCACTTTTGTGAAGAGTTTATTTCCATTCAAAAGGTAGTATAGGAGTCGATACATTTTATAAGCACAACATTTGATTACACACTCAGTGGAGTCAGTCACTTGAATAAAACCTAGACATTGCAAATCTATATAGTAATGTATTAGTATAGTATATAATTTATCAATTGTGCAAAAGACCCCATGCAGAACAGTTCTAGTGATAAAGATAATCTTCCCATTACAAACCAAAGGCTTTACCAAAATGCCCAAAAAAGCACTATTGATTTTTCTATTATTGCAGACATTTATGGTTAGTTTATTGACTAAATTTCACAAACAGGCACAAATTAAAAAAATCTTACTTGGATATACAAATTAAGGTGCTATGGAAGTTAACAGGAAATGACAAAACAAAAAATGTCAAAACCATGCTGGATTTTGAAAAAATTTTGAATCAAGATAACAGAGTTCTGTTTGGACATCCAGTCAGTTTAATTAGTTTCATATATCATTTACATGACCAGGATCACAATATGCATGGTCAGAATGATTCTAAACATGATGAAATAACCTTTTCAGCCCTCTGAAAATGTGACTGAAAAATAGCTAAGAGTAGGTGCTCAGGAAAGGTCACTGAACATAATCTTTTGACTTTTTCAGAAAATGTGCCCAATATATTACTCTAAATGATACAATTTTAAAAAATGTCATAGCATTCTCAGAAAAAGAAAAAAATGAAAAAAAAACTGAATTTAAAATCGATCTATTTTCCTTTTAAATACAGCCATTATTGTTTCAGACAATTTTTTAAAATTTCAAAGATTGTATCATTGACAGCAATATATTAGACACATTTTCTGAAAAAATCAAGAGATTCTTTTCATTGACCTTTCCTCAGCACCTACTTTTAGCTATTTTTCAGTCACATTTTCAGAGGGCTGAAAAGGTTATTTCATCATGTTTATGGTCATTCTGACCATGCTCCTTATGTTCCCAGGCCATGTAAATATGTTGAACTAGTTAAACTGACTGGAGGTCCAAACAGAACTCTGTTATCTTGGTTCAAAAAAATTTCAGAATCCAGCATGGTTTTGACATTTTTTGTTTTGTCATTTCTGTTAACTTCCATAGCACCTTAAATTACAAATTAAAATGTGTTGCATGAAACACATTGATGAATTTGTTTACACAAACTGGAGAAAGTATATAATCTTGGTTCTCCACTTTCAATGAACACATTTTTGTACTTTCTCCTGCATGTATGAACAAATATTTTGTGTCCATTCTCCAACATGCATAAGCAAATGATTTGTACTTTCTCCATTGTGCATGAACCAAAACGTTGTTCATTCTCTTCCGTGTTTTCAAAATTTTATTAATTAATCAATTTGTCAGAACGAATAAAATGTACTTAAACCAGTCAGTATGAACGAATTGAATGTACTACAATATCTATAATGTGTATGAATTGCTCATACACACTGGAGAAAGTACATGATATTTGTCAATACACACAGTTAAAATTTATTGTTTCATATATACACTGGAAAAATATAAATAGTAGTCCATACAAACATACACAGAAAGTAAATAAAACAATAAAATATTGGTTTAAGCACATGGGAATTTAACCAAGTTTCGATTGGACTTTTAGAAAGGTCACCAGACAGAATCTATTGCATTTTTCAGAAAGTATGCCAAATATATTATTCGAAATTATAGAAGCTTTTGAAAATTTGAATTCATTCCTAAAAATAGAAAAAATGAGAAAACGGCTTTAGAAAACAATCCATTCTCTTTTTATGATCACAATTTTTGTTTCAGACAACTTTTCAAAATTTCAAAGCTCCTCTGACATGTATGATTTAGAGTAATATATTGGGCACATTTTCTGAGAAGTCTTTCACATGATGTTTAGGGTCATTCATTCATACAAACTAGAGAGAGTATGAGAATATTGATTAATCCAATCTGAGTAATATGATAGATATTTGGTTCTTCAAAAAGAGAGGTTTACTAAGATTTTGAATATAAAATAGATTTGGATCAAGTGTTATAAAGAATCTGATCTTCTTAACTTACTTAACTTCGAGCATGCAGATAAATATTCAATGGATTTACATAAAATGCAGAGTTCCCGTGACAATGGCATTTATTTTTAATGATCAAGAAAGTACTTTGCACCCTCCCGCCAAGTTAGGAAGAAGCCAGAGCTTTCATTCTGGTACACATCGCATCAAGAAACATGTCTAGTGTCTATCATGTAAGAAGAGAGGGTCAAGGTATTCCATGATGGAGCATTTTGGAAACCCTTCTTAGAAATTGCTATGCTGAAAATGGGCTATTGCTATACACTGTGTACAAGTAATGCAGATTGCTCCGATTTTCACTACGGCGCCATGCCGATTGAGTATTTTGTTCAAAATTGAATACAATAGAGAGGTTAAGCTACACGTATTTGACAAAACTTGAACGTGAACTTCAATACGCGCGCAGATAAATGACGTCAGATTTGTTTATTTCCTGTGGGCCAGAGTGAATTTAACAGGTTTTTACATGAGATTATCATATTCGTGCAATTTACAGACGCGTATTCAACAAAGCATGAACGTGTACTTCTATGCGCGCGCAGGAAAATGACGTCAGATTAGTCTACTTTCTACAGGTAAGCGTGAAAGTTACAGGTTTTTACGTGTAGATGAGTGATTACACGTCGCTCATTACGTGATTGATTTTAGCTATGTTTTAGGATGGCCCGGGGGCCCATATTTGATACAAACACTATTGCTTGTTAGAACGGTAAACCCCAAATCCTTTATTGGAAATAAAGAATACATTTTAGAGATTAAATGACAACTTCAAATGTGATCGTTTGTTCATTCCGTACAATATAAGTAGGCAGGGCTAATTTGATTCCCGGGGCTTGGTACAATATGTATACTAAACGAAATGAAATGACAACCAGGGCCTACGATTGCCTTATCACTACATTTGATTTGCCTGAATCTGAATGACTGAATGGCCTGAATTGATTGCAAATTAAATAATCTCACAATTAATATGACACAAATGGTGTATCACATCAGATGTGCAAATATAAAGTATCGATCAATCGATTCAGGTCATACTTAAAATTAAAAGATTGTACATTTTTTCATCATTTTTTCCTACAAAATGGCTAAAGAAAAATGCTTCAAAAGCAACTTTTACACTTATGAAATCCCATACAACTTTGTAAATCCAAAGATTATACTGTTATGTTTCATTAATTAATAACATATTTGGATAAGATGTAGGGATGTGTAGGATGCAAATGGATTTTGACGGACACACAAAGACTTCCTGGTGTGGCATCTCTACCCCTGTACACTTTATGGTTGAATATTGGCCCTAATAAGTGGCCCATTCATCAATACAGTGCTGAATATAGGTCAACAAGATACTAGTGTACATATCAATAATAAAAGCAGAACATTCATTTTGAAAAATCAGATGAATTTATTTTGTTCATGGGGAGATTATAATGGAGGGCGCCCGAGATCATTTAATTGTGGTTGAATATGAAATAAAGCAAAAATAAAAAACAAAATGATTCGAACCCAGGCCTAGCGGACACGAGTCCGAAGTGCTATCCATTACACCATAGAAACATGACCCTCAGTCACAGGCACCACATGAATATAGCTCCACGTCCACTGACATGGTTTCAGACGTGTAGCTTAACAGAAAATTTTCTTAAACGTGTACTTGAGCGTGGACTTACGCGTTCAGGTTCACGGTTTGCATTTATACGTGTAGCTTAACCTCTCTATTATTGAAAAAACTGAGCAAATGTGACCCAGGCATCAGTGTAGTATGAATTTATTTTGTTAGGATGCCAGTCAGAGCTCTTGATGCCAGTACTAAGTTTGCAAACATGCATGTCAATTGTCAACCATGGCCAATTAGAAAAGTGCACCCCTTCTATATGTTAATATAAACCCTTCCTACACCTTGGTTTAGCTTTGGATCACTATGCTATCACTATGTGGCAGAAATGCATTCTGATTGGATATGAATGATCACATGACATAGTGCACCAAGGTATCAGGAGCTGGCATGCCAAAATGTAAAATCTCTAATAAGAAGATCAAGATAAGGTGCACTCATATCAGATTCATTAGTCTTTTCAATTCTAGCTCAGTAGGATATATCTCACCTACAAAATCTTTAAATTTTGGGTTGTCTGAACTTAACGAGTCATCAATATATCGATCTGTCTTATTTAATGACTTTGCAATATGAAATTATCTTTCATCATCCTTTGTAAAAATTTATACTCATACGACAATAGAAAAGGGTCTGCTAAAAGTGGAGAACAATGTGTACCCATTGGTAAACCTACATTCCGACGTAAAACTGTATGTCCAAACTTAACGAATATATTATCAATAAGAAAGCCTAACACCTCACAGAATTGTACTGCAAGAAATATACTTATCATATTGTTCACTAGAAAAGAGAGCCCTATTTGAATAACAGTTAACATATTTAAATTTACTACCCGTCAATGTTTTTTAATGATTCCAAATATTTCATCTTTTAACTTGTCATGAGGAATTGATGTGTAAAGTGTAGAAAAACCCCACGTTGAAATACATTTAACTTTTGAATAAATCGGCTCATTACATTTTGATAAAAGATCTTTGGAATTTTTAAGGATCCACATATGGTTAACCCTGGAATTTCTAAAAATAGCCTTACAATAAGTCTCCCTATTATTTTTAACAGCTTGAAGACACCTTGTCAATAGTCTAGAAACTTTGTTAGTGGAACAGACTCACGATCTGGGTAATAATTTGAAGTAATCGGGGACCATGGTACTTCTTAATATCCTTAGAATAAATGTACAACTGATGAGATCGTAGGTCGTGCTGAATAAGATAAAGATTTCTCAGCACAAGTGTCAAACCAAATTAAGGACCAAAAACTCTAGTTACCTAGCAAGAAAAGAAAAATCTGAGTGTAAACCTGTCATTGAAAATATATCCTAAATATCCCAAAGCCATGATATAACGCGAAAAACATTAACAGCCCTCCTCCTCGTAGTTTTCAACTTAAAAACACTTTGGGAAAAATGAAGTGCTGATTGATACATCTTGTGATAGAATTTAAGGTTATATCCTTAAGATTCAGAGGTCTCATCATGTTTTGGATGGGGTTTGGCACTTTCCTGTCAAATATGTTAATGTTTATTCAAAACATGTCGGTCATGAATAGTTTGAAACGGGCTATATGATGATATGAAAAAAACATATAGAAAATGATATCCTACTCACAGAGGAAAATGTATTATAGAGCATAATAGCAAATAATAATTTATGACGTCATTTAAAGGACAAAGTCACATTGGTGAGTGTTTGAGACAATGTTTTTACCATTGCTAACTAAGATTTCTAGCAATTATTTACAATATGTACACAATATGCCGCAAAGAGTTTAGAGCAAAATAATACAAACTATTGAAGATGTTATGATTGATAAAGGACCACGCACTTTTTTCTTTACAGAGGGTAACTTAATTTTGTTTTACAATTCACCCTACCTTTGCACGTGTATCCTGTGCCTCTGAAACCCGTCTTGCAAGAACACCTGTAAGATGTCACAGTGTCAGTACACATGGCATTTTTGTCACATTTGTCTGTTCCCTTAGCACATTCGTTCACAATTGCTGAAAATAAGTATATCGATTTTGAAATATAGCAGGCGATGTGAATATAAAATAGACACATTATGTTATAAAATATATGTGAATAACTATAGTGGATTGCCAAAAGTTAATTAAACTCACTGAATATTTATGAAAAATATCGTATATGTACAGGGTGAGCCGAACAACCCCCCCCCCCCCTAGCCAATATTCCTGATACATATTCATTTTTAACATGCACACCAACAATGATATATCATTTTAAAAATAATTTTGCAACAAAATGGTATATGATAAACAATTTTTAACAATTCTACTCGATATATTACCGTTTATGCGACATTGGAGCAAAAAACACCTTGTCAATTTTCATCGATTTTGCGAACAATAGCCAATTTCTACCAAATTTTACTGTTCAGTTAAAAATTGCAACATTGTCATGGGTGTTTCATATTGGATATTATATATTGTTTTTATTCAGTTTTTGAACCATGCATGCTCAATATACATGTATGCTTATGAAACATTTATTTCGTCCTCAGTCTGTCCAGATATGACTTAATAGACCTAACCCTGGACCCTTCCTCTGATTGGATTCTTCCCTAAAGACGCTGAAGCCATTGATTGATGGCATAATTGATGGATGTATGTGGTTCTAGTAATTCTTTCTTTTAGTTCCTCTACATCATTGATAGGCTGGGTATCTTTAAATACCAACTGTTCTAGATGCCCCTAGGTATGGCAATCAACATTATTGGCATCTGGACTGCCAGTTAGCCATTTGACCGGGCTAGAGATAGTGACATTTCTAATCTCCCAAAACTCCAGGATAGCATTGGACCTGTGAGATGGAGCACTGTCATATCAGAAAATGAAATTTCTTTCACATGTTTTTTTATATATGTTTGCTCCTGGTTCAACATAGTGACAGTGATAAATATATATGCTCCTGGTTCAACAATAACAGGGCCTGTCCGGTCTTTCCTTTTTGGGAAACAACGAGTGGACACCACTACCCTTTCATAAAATGTGATCTCGATTTGAGTAGCCTTTATCACAAATGTCACTATTCCTGTTTACTGATATATAAAATGTATCCTGTTAATTACATGTATAGTGCTTGGGGCATTTAGAACAGTTGGTCCATGAAGATCCCTTGCCCATCAGGGATGAAGACAGCCTGAAAGAATGAATAATGAGGAGTTGAAAGTACTTCCACAGAGATCTATCAACAATACCATTGGCTCTCGCGTCGTTGGCAAATTATCCGATCAGAAGGTTGGTCCAGGTGGTTGGTCTATTGAGTCATATTTGGACAGACCGAAGAAGCAAGTAGTTAGTTTATAAACATACACGTGCATATTGAGCATGCATGGTTCAAAATCTGAATGGAAAGAATATATAATATCCAATTATAAAAGACTCATGACAATGTTGCAATTTCTAACAGAACACTAACATTTGGTAGAAATTGGCTATTGTTTTTTACCCCCATGTCACATAATTGGTTTTATCATATCACTGTCATATTACTCACTCTCTTATTGCTCCATGTCCTACACGTGACTAAAAATAACTAGCGATATTCTACGGAAGTCACGTGACTTCCGGTGGATATCAAATGATATTCAACGGTCATGAATGGACATTTGAAAAACATTCCCAACCCTGTTTCCCACATTGCCAATACTATGAGTATGAACGCAAGGGTTCCATTTTCATTGACCCATTGCAATGTTACAATTAATTACAATGTTAACATGACACCTTCAATTAAAATACTACAATTTGGTAGTTGATATTTATTGATTATACCATTTGGTAGTTGATATTTATTGTTATTTTGTTAGAATATAAATGTATTTCAATGTTAACATATGACTTATTCAATTATAGAAGATGTTATGACAGTGATGTAATAAAACAAATATTTAATTCTATTTTCGGTGAATACCTGTGACACTTTCACAGGATGATATTCCACTAGCCCATCGGGCTTCGTGGAATATCACTTGTGAAAGATGCACAGGTATTCATCTCAATATAATTAAATATTTGTATAATATTTCTATATGGGGTTGTTGAAAATGGTGCTATAATATATAATTTGGTTGCAAATTAAATTATCGTTAATACGATACATCATTGTTGGTGTGATTGTTAACAAATAAATATTTATCAGGAATATTGGCTAGGGAGTGGTTTTTGGCCCACTCTGTATATATATTATGAGGTTATATAATGGTTCTTTCTGTGTATATCGTGTTTATACTCGAGTGAGTATATGATATATTCACAAGTGAGCGAGAGTATAAAATGCACAATATACAGAATGAACCATTATATAATCGTTTTATGCCACTCTAAGTTCAATTACAGTTGATTCGAGCACAATCATAACAATTGATCTCGAACCATTTATGACGTGGCTTGATTCTAGGAAATCAGTGTCGGAACTCCTCATTCGCTCCGCTCATTCGAGGGACACAACAGTCTGTGTAACAAAACATACACCTTGTTCTACGGTCTATATTCATTAGTTCCCAGAATGCACTCCTACAGTGGTATATGCTGGAGTGTATACGGAGGAGTTGTATACGTTGACGATATACCACTCTCCACTGTATATCGTTGTTATAGACCCATGTTATACAACTGTAATCGGACTTAGAGTGGTATAAATATATAATACATAAGTATTTGAAATATATGTATATATATAAATGTATATATATATATATATATCATAATTATAACTCTAATATAAGTCAATTTGGAAATGTTTTTTATATTTGTATTTTCTCAGAATGTATACTGTCTATCTAGTTATCTTCGATTTCGATTTTTATTCAATATTTCAATACACAACATTCAATATACGTGAACTATGCCATTCGATGGACAATTTGATCTTCCATGTCTCCTACCTCTGCAGAATGCGCCATTCCCCCTAAAACCATCGTTGCATTGACACTTTGATGAGCCTATAGTATTAATGCAGTGAGCATTTCCACTACACTTTCTTTTTTTAGTTGCACATTCGTCAATATCTGTAGATAGAGGTTATGTCGTTGCCCATATTTATGGAACTAATTGTTGTAGATAAATAGTTCATGCATAACATAAATTCAAAAATAAAGGATTGTGTAGACAAGATAGGCAGACACATGAAGATATGTAGTAAATAAATGAGAATATAAATTATAGAGAAACGCAAAAATAAGACTAAAATGCTGTTTGTCTGCACGTCTCCTATTCTATGCTGTGGATAGAGGGCACAGCGCCATTTGGCACCCTGTATTGCTTTCATCTGATATAGAAAATATCAACTTTGCATATTGATCGGTCATGATTTGACAAGAGTCGGAGTTAAGTAGGGTCAGATTTGACCATGGCCTGGGTAGATCAGCAAATTTCACGTTTCGCTTAATTTGGGGTTTCCTTATGTCTGTTTGTACTATTAGATTCATTTAAATGCTTCAGAATACTTCTTGTATTTTTTCTTTTGACAACTTCACATACATATTCATTGTATACTGTGATACATTATGATGAAGCATAATTTGAATTTGATATTGAGACATATTGCAGTACGTTATATTCAATAAAAGATAATTGTTATACACCATCAACATATGATATATATGACAGGTCCTAAAGTTATAATTAATGGAAATGACTGAGCAATACAAATTGGAAAGGTTGAGTGTTGTTTTTAAAATGTAAAAGTTTGTTAAATACTTCATATTGACTATTCTAGTTGAACAAAAATCTATTTCTTTAATTAACTATACCTTTACATTTCCCATCTTGCTCTGTGTATCCTGATCTACAGTAACACGAATATGAACCTATACTGTTTCTGCAGATCTTTGGGTATTTGCAAAGACGTAAAGCACATTCATTTGTATCTGAAAATGAATTCTAAGTTAAACTCGAAGGGGATAATGGAATTGTTAAGATAGGAAATGCGGGATATTGTTCGTTCAGGAAAGTTTATTCCCTTTCTGTTAACTTAATTCGTAATATGCAATATATATATATATATAAGCACTAGTGCCAAAGGGAAAGGACCAAAAGTTGTAATGGAACTTAGCAAGAAAAGGCAAACTCTATGTGTATACCAGCTAAGAAAAACAAACCCCATATAGCCCAAAATCCTGATCTAACTTGAAAAGAAACACTGTCTAATGATATTTTCTAACGATTGAGCGTAACGAATAAGTTTAAAAATTATTTAATACAGGTACTTCACACTGTTTTGATATCAGATTTGGAGAAGGTGTTCTATAGTTTGTTAGGGGGTGCATATTTGGGTATGTTCTGTTCTATTTAAGTGACGACAAACGGTGGTATTGATTGAATGAGTTGTGAGTGATTTATGTTTAGGAAATAGGTTTTGAAATTAACAAATCATTCGGCTTTGTGACGCTAACAGGGCAGCATTTGCTAAATTTATTAAAACTCGCAATTGAGACATTTGCTATATACTAAAATACGCAACTGATACTCAGAATTGAGAACGAAGAAAACGTGAATTGTCCAAAGATGGTTCAAAACTGGCGAGGAAGTTGGAAACAGAAACAAAGTTACAGAAGAAAAGACAAGAGAAGCGGTAATACAACTCTGAGATATTGGATAAAATACTTCCAAATGTCTAGAAGATGGTGGAGACCGAGATGTGCAAGGCGCAGCGAGTGTCCTGGCAGAAGGTATGGTTTTGAATAATTAATGAATAGAATAGGTTAAAATAGCTGATGAATCTCCATAAGTGTGTGTAGTAGAAAAATATGAACGTTAAGAAACTGCAGATTCAGCGACGATGACAAAAAGCTATTACGTCCAGTTCATTCTTGAAGTGAGATAAATCATCAGTTCAATATATCAGAACAAAGTACCTAAAAATAAAGTCAGTTTCAGAGGCGGAGGTGGTTTGTCATCTACAGCAGGCGGAGGTCTCGATAGGCGTGGTTCCTTCAGAACAATCAGAACTACTACAGGACGGCAGTTCAGAGGCAACGGTATTTGTTTCTGCTGCTACAGGACTAGGTGTTGGTCCAGAGATTGTCAAAGAGACATCTGCTCAAAGTAGCAGCAATAACCGGAAGTTAAGTATACTTCTGAACTATATATGTAATCAAAATAGTAAAAGATTCAAACTGAATCAAACTGTTAAAGGAAAACTGAAAGAAAATGTAGCGTTTTGGAAATCAGTAAGAGCTAATCTTTACATAATTTATGTTATTGAAAATGGTTAGAAAATTCGGTTTGAGTCATACCAAAGACCTAGAATTCTAAAACAGATTTGCATTTTTAAATCAAAAATAAAAAACGGTTGTTTGAACAGGGTTGTATATATAAACAGTTGAAGTTTCTAAGGTTGTCAATCCTATCACCGTATAAAGTCAGATACTTGGTCAAACATTGGAGGGCTTTTGGATTCAGATTTTAATATTCTTGAATGATGCAATCAGGACCGGAAATACTGGACTTATTGTCTGAGAAAATTATAAATACTATAAGGTCCGATTTGATTCGATCTGGATTTGTTCCTATCTGGAAGTTCACTCAAAACTCGGTTTGGTTTGGCTAAGGTTTGGTCGGAATTTGAAAAGGAAATTAATGATATCCCGGAAGTGAAACCGTAAAAAGTTTCGTACAGTACAGGCTATGTGATCACTTCAAGGGTTGTGGCTTCCATTATTAGAAAAGTAAAATCTTTCAGGGTGCAACAGGTGATATAGTCACAAAACAAGGGCGTTTCAAAAAATAGTTGTCCTAGATTATACTGGGATGTCTTATCAAGATAGCTGATCAAGCCAAACAAGAATTGTGTTTCAAGGGAAAATAATCTTGAGAGAGTGAATGGAAATGGTTTTTAAAACGTGTCCTGAACACTCCAGAGTTGTTTATTCGGATGCATCGAGTAAGGCTTGTGTCTAGATACTTAAAATGTCGAATTGTTTGTTGATTCACGGACAACACTGGTGTAGTGAATATAGTAAACAAGGGTAGCATGATACAAGAAATTCAGAAACTTGCCGTTGATATTCGTGAAATTAGTTTTGCAGAGAATCGTGGTTTTGAAGCCTGAATGGATTCCGCGGGAACTAACCCGAAATGCCGAGTCCATCAGCAAAAATGATAAATTATAATGACTGGGGGTATATACTGGAATATCTTCAACTTTTAAGATACAAAACGGGGAGTGTATACTGCCTATTTATGTTCGGTGGAGCGTAGCGACTTTAGAACATAAATGCTTTCTATTGGCTGAACGATGAGTTCAGTTCAATGTAGAGTTATGTGAGTGAGTGGATGTTTTCGTGGTGAAGGTAGAGTGTATAGAAAGACATTCTGAGCTTTGTCACCGTGTAGTCAACACATACACTTCGTTTTATTCAATAAACCAACAGATTAGACAACTTTTGTCGAATTTAATTCGAAAGTTCAAGACACATTTGAAGAAACCTCCATATTACTCGTTACTACATAGTTGAAACAGCTGACTTACAATAGCACAGTCATATGAGGAGAATATTACAGAAGGTAAAACTTTTATATTACGAAAAAATAAATTGATTAGTTTGAACAGGTACGTCAGATGTCTTTGGGTTATAAACTGTTAATTATATGACTCCAATCACCTCAGATAGTACAATCAACATCTATATATAAAAAAGCGTAAAAGAAGCTTCAAATAAAATAACAAAATTGGTAACAAAGGCTTTCTCGAGGTCCTTTACGTTTCAGAAAGTTCTGGATGTCCTACAGTATGTACCACTAGACTCAAGAGGTCGCAACTTGTTTTACGACAACATAGTATCGGGCAGTGCCGGGGTGAGCATGATTACCAATGATGGCCGATGTCTGGTTTCAATGCGGCGAAGCTGGGCCATATCAAGGTCATTTTGGGAGCAATGAGCTCAACGACTACTGCAATCACGAATAAGTTAAGTAGCCAATTAAATTATTATGTTTTCTTATGTTATTGTTTGAAATACTAGATATCTCTTCAGGGATTTACATTACTGACAGTAGTTCGGTGCTTACAAGATTTGTTTAGAGGTCTTCTTCGTAGATTTCAATCTATGTACGTACAAGTACTTGTACCAACATGTTATAGTGTTTCCTCAATTGGGAGGCCTTTACAAGTTATTTTCGTATTTTATGTTCTTTTCCTCGGTATTAGAACTGAGAGATTGATATTCAAAAGTTGATAGGTTTGTTTCACAATAGCTATTTTAGATGAACCGATTCGTTTAAAAAATAAAGGGGTATATAAAGCAGGCAGTAAAAAGAAATAATTTGTAGAAAGATCAAATTTAGTGGTCAATGTTCAGAATTTCAACTTGATAACAAGTAATGACATATTAGATTTTCAAATAAATACAGGTTTCAGAAAAGATCAATCACGTTTAAACGTATAGGAGTTAGTTAAAAACGTTAATCAAAGACTCGACATGTTTTACTAACTCGTAAACACAGAGGCTTGATTGGGAAAACGCTTTTTGGCTAGATAATCAGTTATTTAATGACTTTACAAGATGGTGATGATGATGTTTGATAGTGCTTGCACAGGCGTTATTTTCAAAGGTGAGTTTTCTCACAGTAATTGTTCAGAAAAAGAAAGCAAAATATATATATATAATAGGTGACTTAATTAAGTTTATTGCGTTACTCATATTAAATAAGAATATACTATCTTCATTTGAATGGGATTTTAAACTTATTCTTACCTTACCTTATCTTTGTTCTTCGGGAATAGCGGCACATAAGAGCCAATGCAAATTTATATGATGGTTGTGTTCTTTTAAGATTTAAGTACGGAGGACCAGTTTTAATGATATTTTCTAACGATTGAGCGTAACAAATAAGTTAGAAAAAAATATTTAATACAGGTACTTCACACTGTTTTGATATCAGATTTGGAGAAGGTGTTCTATAGTTTGTTACGGGGATCACTATATAAAATAGAGAATATTGCTTGGTTATAAGAAGTGTCTATTTGTAAGAATCTCTTGTAATCAGCAGTAATCAGCAAAAATACTCAGTACATATAAACAGAGACATTACAGAGACAATACTCGCTGCATATATGGAACACTCTGTATATTCAGGTATTGCTCCTCTTTATTTGTAGAACAGCGCATATAAGCACTGATTATATGTGAAGTTAAGAATACTCAAATATATGCAAACGCAATACTTTGTAAGTGTGCAATATAGTCACACATTATAATTGCTTCTTTCTGACTATATTAAGCTATTTCTAAGTTACACTGCTCATTTTATAACTGAGCATACAAATAAAAAACAGAATATTTGTGCGTATTTTTCTTTTAAGCATGATAAAACAATACAACAAAATAATGTAAGAACCGTCCGTAGTTCTTAATGAATATGACTTTACCTGTGTATAATAAGCAACTAGATGGATTTTGAAATGATCTATTTTTACTATAATTATGATTTTGGACACCTTTACAGTCGCGCCAGAAAAGAGAGATCTTCCTTGTAGTTATCAAAAGTTGCTAATAGAAATAGCTTGTGCAAACCCCGGGGTGCAAACACTTGTTTTGTATGGATATCGCCCCCCCCCCCCCCGACGGAAAGCTGGCTACACCGCTGAACTTGTTATCTCTACTTTCAGAGTCAATGCAACCTAATTCTTCCTGAGAAGGTATTATTATTTAAATCTGACAACCTGTTAACACCGTTTGTATTAAATCTTGGATTATGCATGGGAATTCAAGTTTTTACTTTTTCAAATCGCCGCTTTGATTGTTTCCAATTCCTCATGATCAAAGCAAATGGAAGTCTAGACTCTTTTGGTGTTGTTTTCGATTTCAATTATAATCCACACATCAATTCAGAATCATAAAATATAAATCACTGGAGCAACGTCCAACAGCTTTTAATCCGCTTAATAAGTTATCAAAACACATTCTTGCCTTTGAATTAAAGCCCATGTTAAATTCTTCCCGGTAAAGTCGGTATTTAAAAAAAATTATAACAGGTAATGGAATCGAAAGAAGATTTCATAATGTTTATGTTTCAATCAGTGTTGATTTCATTGTCTTATATAACTCATTTACATGAGTTTTCTATTCCCGATGCTTGGTCATAGTTTGCCCGGATAGTTTGTTCATAATAAATTGATTTAAGTTTAAATAGAAAATAAATATAGTATTCTTATTTGAATTTTACAAACTGGGTATCAAAAAGCCGGCTTTTTAACTTCAGTTTGAAACTGTTTTTTTAATCCTGCTTTTTCAGAACTATAGATTGTAAATGCGTTTGCCTTCGTAATGTTTCGGTGCAGTTTTGTGAATCAAAATATCATTTTTTGATAATTTGATAATATGAGAAGGAAGAGACAAAACCCGGAAATCAACAGTTATACAGGCTACATTCTGTCTCATTATCTATGTCATGATCATTATAACATAATTTCCATATCTGTTTACGGCTGGGTGACGGTTCGCATGGGCGTAGCCAAGGCGGGGAGGGGACATGTGCGCTTGCATTCCTCACCCTCTCAAAAAGAAAAAGCAATTTTGCAAAATATGAAAAAAAACATTGACATTGACATCCAGAAATTCCGGGGGTAAACGCCGTTCCGGGCCTCGCTTCGTTCGCATTGATACAAACCCAAGAAATCTCACCCCCTGAACAATTGCTGACTCTGCCCCTGGTTCAAATAGTGCTTATAAGGTTAGCCATTTTGTGAAATCAAATGAGATAACCTTGACACTAAACTCTATATTCTACATGATCTTTGCATGAAATATCAATTGCGTTTAATATGAACTTTTCTGAAAGTACGTGAGCCCCCCTCCCCCCAGGCAAAAGCTGGCAACGAGCCTGTAATATAAGCCCGGGAATATGATGAATTGCCACAGTCTTCTCAATCGTGTAATACGATATTAGGGGACATACATTACTCAGGTGACTTTACTGAGTTAAACTTGCAAACAATATATTTCATAATACTTGAATATATTCACGGA